GCGACTGGCAGAGCGGCCGCGCCCTGGGTGCCCTGGTGGACAGCTGTGTCCCGGGGGAGGCGGGGCGGGACCCATCAGGGTGGGGGAGGACTCTTTGGGTGCCTGCGGCCCAGGGGGGCTCACAGCTGTCCCCTCCCCGCAGGCCTGTGTCCCGAACGGGACTCCTGGGACGCCAGCAAGCCCATGAGCAATGCTCGGGAGGCCATGCAGCAGGCCGACGACCGGCTGGGTGTCCCTCAGGGCAGGTCGTAGTGCACCGGTTATGGAATGGCTGCAATCTGCCAGACGAGCTGTTTGAATCCGGCAGCCGCTCCTTGGGAGGAAGACGGGGCTGTCTACTGCTCGCAAGAGTGACAGTTCCAGAAACTCATAGGGACACCTCTACCCACTCCTGTTGCCTCCCCCGAGAGCCGGCATGGCCTTGCTCGCTGGCGGCGAGTTTGGTTTGGGGCCTTGGAATCTCAGCGGAGCCCTGCTAAGCAGTGCTATCCAGTCACAAACGTGTGTGGAACCAGGACATCGGGCCATGTCTCTAGGGAAGAATCAAACTTGGGTATGTGACCGCGACGGGGTCTTCTTCCACGGTGAGTTGTTTGATTATGTAAAAGGTACCCCAAAGAAAAAAAAAGTACCCCAAAGTAGAGAGACCAGTGTGAAAGCCCATTTGCCCTTCACCCAGCTCCAACCGCTCCAAGAGTTGGGACCTCACCCTGTCCGAAGCAACGGCAGGGGAGCTGCCCACCGGAGTTTGCTGAAGTCCAGCGGTGCTCAGCGTCAGGCTGCCTGGCGGTGGAGGAGGGGCTCTTGGGCATGAGACGCCGCCGCTGACTGGTTCCCTTGGGGTCTCTCTCTTGCTCTCACTCTGACCGCCGTGGAGTGGATTCCAACTCCCAGCAGCCCTGCAGGGCAGAGCAGAACTGCTCCCCCGGGGGTGTCCACAGCTAGAGATCCACAGCTGTGGGAGCACACAGCCGGCCTCACCTTTCTGGGGAGGAACGGCTGATGGGCTGGCCTTCCGACCGTGCAGTGACACGGCCCCAGTGTAATCCACCGCCCCACCCCAGCTCTTTGGTCTCCCTGTAACCACGTGGAATCCACCCATTGGCTCCAGCTGTCCCTCGCCACCCTGGCCTGCTGCCCAACTCGAGGGGCATGCCCGTCGAGTTCTCTGCAAAGATTCTCGCAGGCATCTGTCTCAGCTAGGGCCCGGCGCTGCCTCCTCCCCCTTAGCGGGCAGCCTGGTTGGGCTCTGAAGGCACAGAAGGCAGGCTGAGTGCTGTCCGACCTAAGATGCGGCTGGCTAACCCTCACTGCCTCCGCTTGGCACCGTGCCACCTGTCCTTTCCCACACGCCACCGCAGGCCACCCCGGGCCATCTTGGACAGTGCTGGGCTGTCCTAAGGAATTCTTTTCTTTGTTGTCCCTGGCCGACTCTGTGGTGGTTTCTTTCCTCTGTCGTTGCCATGTTCGCTCCGAGACTTGCCCTGGCTTTGGCCTTCGTCAAAGAGCAGGCAGGACCAGGCACCGGGGAGACCTGACAGGCGTGCTCTGCCCTCCAGGACCCCGTGCTCTGCGCTCCAGGACCCCATGCCCCCGTGGAGGACCGCCCGCTGGCCTTCGCTTTGAGACAGAGGGCCAGTTATCCACCCAGTCCCCATGAGTGAGCCAGTGGGGGCCACCGAGAGAGAAGGGCAGCCAGTGTTGAGAAACACCGCCGGGTGCTTCCTTCATGCCTCGGCGAACAATGTCTCCTGGCCGCCGAGCCAAACCCCTGCCGACTCACAGCAACGACCCTAAAGGACAGGGTAGAACTAACTGCCCCCTTGCGTTTCCGAGACTGGCACTCTTTTTTTTGGGGGGGGTGTTTTAAAAAATCCTTTTATTGGGGCCTCTGGCGGCTCTTAATCACAATCCACCCGTCCATCCATTGTGTCAAGCACATTCATACATCCTTTTGAAAACATTTTCGTTCTTCTTGAACCCTTGCCATCAGCTCACTTCC